CCAGTGACCACAGATGTGCTGATGGTCCCCAGGGCTGTGTTAGCTGATGATCATCACCAGCCGGTGCTAATTGTCTGGCACCATTTATTCCTTCATATTTTAATCCAGCACTTGAGCTGGGGGCTGCCATTGTTCCCATCAGACTTGGGGTTTTTTTCGCAGACAAAAATGGATGTGGGATTTTTGTGAGGCTAGACAGTCTTTCTGCCTTTGCCTATCTATTGTTTGAGCTGTGAAGAATTAAGTCATCATCAAAAAATTTAGGACTTCTGTTGAGCTGTGCAGGGACTGTGGCATGGGGGTGTGTGAGGCTGCAGGCACTCATGCTGTCCTGCAGGGCTGTGGAGGGGCTTGATCCCCCTCCTGCCATGGCTGCACTGTCCTCAGTGCCCAGGTTCATGGCATCTGGTGCTGCCTCTCAGTGTGATGTTTCTGTGTGTGATTTCCTGGTGGATGCCGTGTCTTCATCTGTGCTCTGTCTCATGTCACTTGTGCAACTGCCCACACCTCTCCTGGTTTATCAGCCTCCTCTGTGCCAAGGGCTTGAGTCACGCCAGGTCGCACACAGAGTGACTCCAGCCGTGCTGGAGTCCAGGCAAGCCCAGGCACAGCTGACCCTGTCACCAGCTCTGCTGCTCCTCACCCTGGTGTCTCTCTTGTCCCATGTCTGTCCTTTCCAGGGAGCCCCGGAAAATCATCCTTCACAAAGGTTCCACTGGCCTGGGCTTCAACATCGTCGGGGGAGAAGATGGTGAGGGGATCTTTGTGTCCTTCATCCTGGCTGGAGGCCCTGCTGACCTCAGCGGGGAGCTGCGGAGGGGAGACCGCATCCTGTCGGTGAGTCGGGGGGGCTGCCCGCCGCCCCCCCCATCGCCCCCCCAGCCCGGGGAGGGCACCCGCAGGACACCTGAGGACACGGTTCGGCAGGGTCCATCCCCAGTGCTGGCATGGATGTGGCCCCTGGGTGTGTAGAACCGGAGCAGCACCTTCCTGGGACCTGCCCTGCGGTGCAGGGGGGGCCGGGGGAACACGTGCCCGGGATACCAGGGCTAGAGATGATACTGAGGGTACAGGGGCTGGGTGATGAGAAGCTGAGAGTGTGGGGACTGTGTGTAGTACCGGTGCAGAGGCCGCGGTGCCTAGGGCAGAGGGCAGACCGCCTCGGTCCGGTCCGGTCCAGTCCAACTGAGCCGCTCTG